CGCGAGGTAGAGGGATCATGGCGTGAACTGTCTCCGTCACTACTGTGCACAATTTGTCACGGGAAATCGTGCCATCTCGGAAATAATTTGTACCTAGCCGGGTTTCGTTTTGTCTTTATCCATGCGTTGCAGATGTCGGTGCTGCAGCTTGAGCTGGTGAGCCCGTTGTTGCTCAAGTCTCGCGACCTGTCTCTTGCGGTGCCTGGCACGTACCGCGTAGACAACAGCTGCGTCAGGATCCACAAGTTCCTCCCGGACGTTCAGGTACCAGTTTGAAGCGTGTCGTTGGCTCTTGTCGTTAGCTGCTGTTGTCCGGGGCTGTCTTCATCGGTATTGGTGTTGCTGTTCGTTCTTGTTCTTGTTCTTGGTCTTGGTGTTGTTCCTGTTCCTGTTCTTGTTGCTGCTGCTGCTGTTGTCGTCGTAGTTATTGTTGTGATCGTTCTCTCTTGGCTGCTAGAGTTGAATGACCCACCTTGTCTATCACAAGACCTGGACATCTCACGACTTGCGACCCTCGTCCATGTCCTCCGTTGATGTTCCTCGTTGCTGTCTTCTGTCATGCAGGTCATCCCTTCCAAGCAGAGGCCCCGCAAGATCACGATGCAGGGGGAGGACGGGCGCGACTACGTGTTCCTCCTCAAGGGCCACGAGGACCTCCGTCAAGACGAGCGGGTCATGCAGCTTTTCGGACAGGTGAGGGTCTAAGCTATCGCCGCACTAGCACGACGGTGGGAGTCCGCGAAGGCGGTCGCCAGATATATGGCGTGTGACAGTGGCTGGCATAGACGGAAAAATCAAGCAATTCTACACAATGAGTATGGCGGCTGCCCCGTGTAGGGCGGTCGTTTTCAGCTGCACCACCACCGCCATGTTTCGGGGACCCTCACTGTGTCCTTCCTGGCTGTCCTCGATATCATGACTAGAGTTATCAAACCTCTCGGTGTTATCAAGCCTCTCGGTGTTATCAAGCCTCTCGGTGCGGCGTTATCCTCCCCCGCGCGGTAGTTGACCTAGTCACGGTGAAGAAACTTTGAGACATGCGTATCGTATGCGATGTGCTTCTTCCTGATAACTGTATCCCGCTATAAAACAGCATGTGCTTCTTCCTGATAACTGCATCACGCCATCATGCAGCTTCTCCCTAGCAACTGCGTCACGCTATCATACAGCGTGTACTTCTCCCTAAATACGGTAGCACGCTACCATACAGCATGTGCTTCTTCCTAAATACGGTAGCACGCTACCATACAGCGTGTGCTTCTCCCTAAATACGGTAGCACGCTACCATACAGCATGTGCTTCTTCCTAAATACGGTAGCACGCTACCATACAGCGTGTGCTTCTCCCTAAATACGGTAGCACGCTACCATACAGCATGTGCTTCTTCCTAACAAGTGTATCGCGCTATCATCCAGCATGTGCCTCTCCCTACCAACTGCATCACGCCATCATGCAGCTTCTCCCTAGCAACTGCGTCACGCCATCATACAGCGTGTGCTTCTCCCTAAATACGGTAGCACGCTACCATACAGCATGTGCTTCTTCCTAACAAGTGTATCGCGCTATCATCCAGCATGTGCCTCTCCCTACCAACTGCATCACGCCATCATGCAGCTTCTCCCTAGCAACTGCGTCACGCCATCATACAGCGTGCGCTTCTCCCTAAATACGGTAGCACGCTACCATACAGCATGTGCTTCTTCCTAACAAGTGTATCGCGCTATCATCCAGCATGTGCCTCTCCCTACCAACTGCATCACGCCATCATGCAGCTTCTCCCTAGCAACTGCGTCACGCCATCATACAACGCGTGCCTCGTCCCAACAACTGCCGAAGGTCAACGCTCTGCTGGCCAAGGACAGGCGAAATTACAGCCACGACTTGTCCATCCAGCGGTACGCCGTTTCTCCCTTGAGTCACAACGCCGGGGTGGTCGGGTGGGTCCCGAACACCGACACCCTGCACCAGCTCATCAGAGACTACAGGGACAGCCGAAAGGTACTTAAATAGTTGTCTACTCGTGTCCTAGTTGGTGGTGTTGATTTCTTGCCGTTGTAAACCCTCTGTTCGCTTCGCTGTTGGCTTCGCTGTTCGGTTGTTGCTGTTGTTGGTGATGGTTAGCTGTTGATTTCTTGCCTCTGGAAACCATTTTGTTGGTGAGCCTACTGATGAACCTCGCCCCCACTCCTCCCCGTGCAACGACTTTGCTGTCCTATTGCACCGATCAGATCGTGCTGAACATCGAGCATCGACTCATGACCCAAGCGACGATACCGTGCGAGTACGACACCTTGACCCTGATGCAAAAGGTGGAGGTGTTCGAGATGTCCCTACAGCACACGGCGGGTCAGGACCTCTACAAGGTAAATTACACTCAGTACAGTTCCAAGCTAGGGTCACCTCGCATAGCGGTAGAGGCGAGCGGAATGGCCTAGACTATCTGTCGTTGACTTTTAGTGGCTTGCGGACCCTTCGGGTCCATTTCATTTCCGTATACCTTTTTTTGGGTAGGTTCGCCTGTGACCACGGGAATCGACCCCGTCAAGTGTTAGACTAGTACGGACAGAAGGAGGTACTGAGCAGAGAGAACGAAACGGTTTTTAATGTGAAGACAACAACAACAACAACAACAACAACAACAACAACAACAACAACAACATAACGCGCCACCGCCTAAGAACCTCTTCGTTGCTCCAAGGATTACTTCCTTGTTTTGTCTATGGGGCGACTACATAGGTTTTTTGGTGTGGGCTTCTTGACTGCACACCTGTTCTTTCCCAAGTTCTTGGATTTTTTTGTTTTTTTGCTCAAGTTCTAAAGTGGCGGCGCGTTCTGTATCGCCTAGGCAGTTTTTTTTTTTTAGAATTATATTGGATAAAGTATGGAACTGAGGTATTGGGGCTCAAGTCTCGGCACAGTGTCGGCAGTCTCCTGATGATGGCTGTTGTTGTACCGCGAAACGATATCAGGTATTGTGGCTCAAGTCTCGGCACAGCGAAGCGTGGCTAGAGCGGCGGACGTGCTACACGCGCTCTCTGGCGGTCATGAGCATGGTCGGTTACATCCTGGGGTTGGGAGACCGCCACCCGTCTAACCTGATGCTCGACCGCTTCACCGGAAAGGTTGGTGGTTATGGTGATGAAGGGCACAAACCGTTTGATATGTGATTGTGCAAGACGGAATGCCGTTTGTTCTCGCCCTGGCTGTTTCGATATCCCAGTCCGTCAAAGCTTTCCGCTGTATCACTGGACACCTAGTTACCTGCCCTGCGGGAATTCGTTCATCGCTCGATTGGTTCCTGCCGCCTTGTCCATCTTTAACCTGTTCCGGACGCAGATCCTCCACATCGACTTCGGAGACTGTTTTGAGGTGGCGATGAACAGGGGAAAGTTCCCCGAGAAGATTCCCTTCCGCCTGACGCGTATGCTGGTGAACGCTATGGAGGTATGTTCACGTTGCTGTTGTTACTGTGGTTGCTGTTGCCGTTGTCGTTGTTGCTGTTGTTGTTGCTGTCGTTGTTGTTGCTGCTGTGGTCATCGTGATTGTTCTTCCTTTTGGCGCCTTTGCCGGCACTAGCATCCCAGTCTCGCACGGGACTCAATTTCTTCGTGTGCATTTTGATAGACCAAGTGATTTTCAAGCGGTCAAATTTAAGAGTTATGAATTCCACCGTGGTTTTCAGATTCTACGATGCGACACAAGTCTGCACGAAACCTATTTGGTCACGACGAAAATAGGCTCATTCGAATGCTCTTTAAAAGCGGCTGTTGTCCGATATATAGCACATATTGTATTCAAAAGGGAACAGGAGATACCATTCAATTTGTATGTACAGGAACCCATGATCAATGCCGTTGCTTTAGAGAGGCTATTATGTTGTTGTCAGGAAACTCCTTCCACCCACACTTGACGGACTGCCCCCCCCCCCCCCGGGGAGCGGGATCCAGGGGAACTTCCCAAACACGTGCGAACTGGTTATGGAGGGGCTCCCCGAGTCCCGCGAGAACCTGGGAACCCTGCTGGAAACCTTCGTGGATGAACCGCTCATCTCATGGCGTCTGCTTGAAAGGAAACAAGAAGGGGCCCAACCCCCCGGTAGTAACCACCACTCTACTAACACTGCCGGGGGTGCTCCCTCCGAAACTCCCGCTCCCACCGACCCTGTCGCTGCGGCCGTGCCACCCGACGGCGCACAGGGACAGCAGCAACAGCAGCAACAGCAGCAACAACAGCCCTTGAACGCGATGCCGCAGCAAGCGTACGCAATGCCACCCCCGCAAGCCACAGCCGTTCCGCAGCAGCCACCGCCGACGCCACGCATCGGGCCGATGAATCCAGGTCAGCGAGGGCCCGGGCGTGCGCAGCATCCACAGCAGCAACCCTACCACCACCAGCAGCGGCAGCAGGCGCCGCAGCAACGCGGCAGCAGCTTGGGACCACAGTTACAGCAGCAGCCGCCGCTACAGCAGGAACAGTTCCAGCAGCCTCCAGGGGGCAGCAGCAACGTGGGCCCGGTGCCACCGCGACAGCAGCAGCAGCAGCAGCACGTTGGGCGGCTGGGACGACTGCTGCAGGAGACCGCGGGGCCAGACGGCGCTGCCTCGGGCGACCCGCCGCCCCACCCGGGCGGGAACGCCGTGGGGGACCCTTCCGCCTCAGTGCGAGTCGCTCTCGCCCCGCCCGCCGCCGGGGGGGGGGCTCGTGACGGCTGGAGGACGGCCGCTGCTCCGCCACAGCACGTGGTTGCCACTGCCGCTGCCGCCGCGGGTAGTGGTGCCGGTGTGGAGGCCAGCGGCAACCAGAGCGGCGGCGGCGGCGGCGGCGGCGGCGGCGGCGGCGGCGACGGCGGCGGTAGCCATACCGCAGCCAGCGGGCGAGTCTCCCAAGACAGCTACGGCCAACGGTACCACGAGCAGCAGCACCCACCACAAGCGGTTAAGCAATACGCCAGCAGGGTCGGAGTGGGCGGACTGATGCCACCGCCGCCGCCGCCACCGCCACTACCACCACCACCTTCCGCCAGAGCAGTATCCTACAGGGTAGGCCCCTCCTCTCTGTCCGGTCGCCCCCTTACCTTACAGCCGGTGCACGAGCTCCGGTCAAGGTACGGGCGCGGCGGGGCCGACTCCGACACCGAGGTCGGGAGCGACGTGGGCACCGAGGAGAACGACGAGACGCCTAGGTCGCCGCAGTCTCGTACTGGCAGCAGAGCGGGCGAAGCCGGCGGCGGCGGCCGCGGCGGCCGCGGCGGCCGCGCCACCGATTCCGGTCGAGATGAAGCCGTCAGGAAGGAAGACCCGGGCGGGGAATGGGCCGGGCAACGCCAGGCCGGCTACGCGATGACGGGAGGCGGCGGCGGCAGCGGCGGCGGCGGTTCCGAGAGTGTCGATGAAGGCGGCGCGAGAGAAGGGTTGCCGCCAGGCGGACGGCCGGAGGAGCTCCGCAGCGTCCCGCCGACACCGTCCGGGCCCGTCGTCGTCGCTCCGGGGATCGGTGCCGCTGGCGTGGGAGGCGGGCGGCGTGTGTTCTCCGGGATCATCGAGCCGCCTTCGCCCCGCAATGCCGTCGACGGCAGCGACCACGGGTTCGATACGTCCTCGCCGCGCCAACAAGACGACGCGAACCTCCCGGTCCTGGGCACGAGCAACGAGGGCGGTATAGACGAGGCCGCCGCCGCGAGCGGCGGGGCCTGGGGAACAGGGGGGGTACCGATGGATCACGGCCCCCCCGTGGGTCGCGACGAGGAAGATGGGGGTGAGGATGTTGCGGGGCCCCTCGGTGGCTTGAGATCACCGTCCGCGGACGGAACTAAGCGCGACGGGGCTGTCGATGGCAGCAACGGTAACACCAAGGCTTTGCCCGAACGCCAATCGGCTAAGGCGGCGGTGGCGGCGGTGGGGGGGGGGAGGGACGCGGACCGACCGAGGAGCTCATCGGTGGCCATTCAGGTACGGTTGCCGACTGACCGCGGGCATGCCTAGTCGTGAAGAAGCGTGGGTGTGTTGCAGCATGTTGCTGTCTTTGGGGGGTATGGACACGCCCCTTGGCGTGTGTGGGTAGAGGCTTGAATGCGTGGCACGGGCGATGACGCGAGCAACATTTTCATTCTTGTTCGATTCCGTCCCCTTCGGCCCAAAAGCCCGAAAATCTCGAATCCAACGCTGGCGAATGTTGTGTGTTCGTGTGTCGTTCAGGGAGACGGAGCGGCGGCGGGGATCGGGGACGCAGCAGACGGCGACGAGGAAGACCAGCCCGCGGAGATAAACGAAGACGAGGAGGATGAGATGGTGGCCGAAGCTGCCGCTGCCGCCGCTGCTGCTGCCGCCGCAGCCCGGCCTGCTCATCGGCCTGGGAGCCTCCTGGAGCAGAGCTCGAGCTTCCGGCCTCACATGCACGTCAGGATGCAGGCACTCTCGGCCCTGAGACACGAATCGTACTTGTCCTCAAGGTAGGTGGTGGTGCTTTTTGGGAGCGTGGCCGCGGCCGGTATTGCGCGCCGGTTGCTAGCATGACAAATAGCGTTTTGTTCTGTCCAATGTGGGGAATTCTATGTTTGGCCATGGATAGAGCTACAATTCCGTGGAATGCATTGGGTTCGTGGTTTTGATATGGGTGCTGTGTGCCCGTACGGCAAATCTGGTTGTACATCTCCTCATCCGCAAGGCTTGCGGTTGTGTACAGTAGCGTGCCGCGGCCGGTGTGGCGTATTTTGGCTTGCCTGCTGCAGAATGATAGCGAGCGTATTTTGGCTGTACCGATGGTTCCGACACCGGATGCGTTGGCGAGAACCTAGATTGCTGTCTTCATCGAGCGGGAGGCGATCGGAGCTGACGCGCGCTAACCAGCGCTTCTTGGTATTGTTAACTTTTCCTGGTGCAGGGCGGGCCTTACGGTGGGTCCTGCCGGCGGCGGGGTAGACGACCTCCCCGCGGAGATGGCTTCCATCGCTCGCTCCATCGCAGCTTCCAGGTTTTCGCGGAGCACACGGGAGCGGGACCTGCAGCAGGAGCTAGGGCCGGAGGGGACCTCCGCGCCCCAAGAGGCGCTCAACGAGAAGGCGGTTAAGGTCATCAGGTGCGCGCGCCTCCACGCCCTGTCGTAGGGTTAGGGTTAGGTCTAGGAAGGTCATGAGGTTGCGCGCCTCAGCGACACCCCCGAGGTGAGGAGACGCTCCAAGACGCTGCCTCCTTGAAGCCAGCTGGATGATCGATGCGGACATGACGTCTTGTGACCTGGCACGAGGTCATGGCGGCATCCCCATCCCCTCTCTTAGAGCCTACACGAGTCCCTTCTTATTTTCCTTGAGCAGCTTCCCGCGTTTGGGGTTATTCTGCGAGGACATGCTTTCCAATGAATTCGTTGTGCTGGGTGCGGTCTTCTGGAGGTTCTTGGTGCTGCTGTCTTGACATTAAAACCCGTTCCGATCTCTCCTCCCTGTACCTTAAAATGTCCGTATGATCAGACACTTACCGAGCGATTCCCGTGCTGACAGGTTAACTTACCCTATCAAAGGCATAGGAGGGACATTGAGACTGTCTGGGGGCATTCACCGTGAGCAGAATAAACAACAGGGGCAACGTCCGGTTCGATTCGCAACTCAATCAATAACGAAGTTTGAAATTTGTAATTAAAATCGTTTTGTTTGTTTTTTTCTCTTGTCTCCAGACAATACAGTTTTTCGGTCAATGTATTTAAGCCCAATCGCCTGTTTGTTTTGTCGCTCTTCAGGAGGGTGCAAGACAAGCTGTCTGGTTTGGAGTTCGGGGATGGCGACGAGCCACCCTACCCCGTGAAGGCTCAAGTCGACTTGCTCATCAAACAGGTGGGGTTTTTGCCAACCGCGCGCTGAAGAAGCGCGTCTTTCGCATGCTTCGGGCGGATAAGCATGGTACTTTTCATTCGTCACTGCGTTTCCATTGAGTTGCCTAGGACAGGAGGCATTGCTTGTCACACGGGCACGGGATACTACTCATCCACCAAGTGGACGGCCTGTTTCGCGCAACAGATACGAAGCAACGGGCCGCAGCGTTCTCCCACCAGATGTGCTTTCGATGTCTGTTCGTATCGTGTGGTGTCTTCAAACTACAACACCTTCTAATTCCTTACCGGCTCGAACTGACGTCACCCATGCGTTGTCCCTTTTCTTGTGGTGTCACGCGTCTTCTGATCCTTTTTCTCGTTCCTCTCAGGCGACGTCCAACGAAAGGCTCTGCCAGTGCTTCATTGGATGGTGTCCTTTCTGGTGACCTTGGAACTCTTGCGAACCGTCTTGGTGCTCCTGTAGTGAATAGTCGGGCCCGTAAAAAGAGAAGTCTGTTGGAGGAATGGATTTGACCTGCCCCGTTGTGTGAATAATGTTCCAGGGTTGACAACGACGTGAATCGGCCGTTGTTGTCCGTTGTGGGGGTAGTGTTGAAATGTGATTCAGCGGGACCCTAGGTCACCGGTTGTTGCACGCGCTTCACGTGCGGTGGATGGCCGAGAAAGTGTGGACTGCTGGAGATTGGCGCATTTTTGGGTTCCCAGCGCGAAGTAATCTTTCGGCCTATTTCGAAAACTCTCCCTCAGATAGCGGTATTCTGGCTGTACTTCCTCAGCCGAGCCGCCGATAGGGGTTGGCTCGTGGTGATGCGCACCCGGGCATCATAAGTATGGCGTCGATTTTTACTCAATTCAGATGTATTTTTTTGCTTTTCTTGTGCGCAGATAGGGGAGACAGTCGGTGGAGATATGGGCCGCAGCGGGAAATCCCGTGTGTCTGGCGGTATTCCCGTGGGTCAGGGCTGTGCGTTAAGAGGTACCATGTGGCATTGTTGGACGCAGCGGTATGGTGCGGGGTGATGATGACCTAGCTGCCTGTTGGCCACCCGCCACGAGAGATGACTCAGTAGTTGTTCGGTTTTTCTCTGGGGTGTTATTTTTCGTTTTCCGCAGTTCGCGGAAAGACACGTGGTGATATTCTTTTGTGCAGCAGCGGCAGCATTACATGTTGTGTCCCGTCGTGTCGTGAGTTGTGCCGGCGTTCAGCGACCTCGTGGCGAGGCGTGGAGAAGGCGGTGTTTGGTCATGTTGGAGTGGGATCTGGTGACATCCATCTCCGGTAGGATGAAGAGTTGAAAAACGTGATGAGTTCAGCGTTTATTGTTGTCGTGTTGTTGGATTTTGTCATGTTTTTCCCCCCCCCCGCCCCCCGCTCGGTGTTTGCCATCGGGATTGGGTTTTCGTCGCTTGGCAACGACGTTGTAAAACAAGCCAATTCACTTCGTGAACTCGGCAACCAGGTTACCGTTTTTTTTTTTTTTTTACGTCGTTTTTTTTTTTTGCGGTAACCATAATGGTGGTCGAGTAGATCATGTTGTGCGGGGTGGAGAACCCTCACTCCGCGCAACGGGGGATGATCGCACCACGTTGTGTTAAAATGGTCAAGCATCCTCGAGGCAGTTACACGGTGCTTACAACTGTCTCTGGAAGTGAAAGCACCAGAAAATAAATTAAGTCATACGTAGCTGTCATCCGTACGCAAGGAAGTAAGCACAAGATGCCGAACACCCTTAGCAGGATGCAGCTCACCCTTCATGCGACTCGCCAAATACCTCACGGTGCTTCGCGCTTGGTGATGTGAGAGCCTGGTCCGGTGAGAACCCGGCGTGCTCCGTCCCGGCGTTGTAGGGATGCGAGGTCAATGGTCTAATGACTACGGCATGCACGACTATGAGTACACCCCCCCC